TGAGCCACTTCTGTGGGAGTAAGGTGGCTTACAGATACCTCTTCATCACTCCAATAAAACCCAAGTTTTTCTTGAAAAAACAGGGCGTTTTGTAAGAAAGAACTACACTTGTGACAAAGAAGAGCCAGTAGACTAAAGAGTCGCATAGGTCCAATGCTGTTTCCCCAGCTTTATGACTTGGGTCTCCGTTCTATCAGTAGGTCAGGTCCACTGTTTCTGGGGGTTTCTCCATCCCTGTCTAGGCTCCTTTACTGGATTCCAGTAGTATGGTTAAGTGCTTAGCTATGGGTGTCTGTTTCTGCTTCGAACAGCAACTGGATGAAGACTCTCCTTCCTCTCCCTGCCCCCAGGCTCTAATTTGGTCAGGGGTTATTGTTCCCAAGATCCTCCCTCAAAAAATATGACAGACTTTGAAGGTCCTTGGTAGAGGACCTCACTATCCCTGGAGATGAGTCAGGGGGTAGGTTGGGTGGGGAACATAGGAGGAGGGAAGGGTGAGGGAATGGGGGATGGATATGTAAATATGAGTAATTAAAAATAATAAAAAATTTTTAAAAAGAGTCTCATAGGTACACCCTGATGTTCCTTGCATTCAACATGGAATGCTCACACCATTCTTCCTTCAAACAGCTGCATATAATGTGTAAGGTCACAGGAATGGTTTGGATGTGGTGTTTTCCTCAAATTGTTTATCCTCTAGAAGGTGCTGGGCTGTTGTCTCTTACAATACTCTTGACTCCAGGATCCGTTCTAGTTTCATTTCTCTTGCTACAATACCTGACAAAAAGCAGCATAAAGGCCATGGGGTTTATTTGGCTTCCACTTCCCTGTTACAGCCCATCGCTGAGGGGAAGTCATAAACCAGGAGTTTGAAGAGCTGAGGGAAACAGATGCACCCATGCACGTTTGCTTTTGTTCAGCAAGCTTTATCCACTCTTATGATGTTCAGGGACTAGCCTCTGAAATAGTTCCTCCTGCATTCAAGTTGGGTCTTCCATTCCACCCCAGTTAAGAAATCATGACAATCCCATACAGACTAACATCATCTAGATAATTCCTCAAATTAAAGTCTCTTCCTGTGTAAGGTTAGGTTGTGGCAAGTTGACAGTTAAAATCTACCCATCAAACTGATTGTAGGAGGCAAGTCACAAATTCTGGATATGTAGTTGAGTGGCTTTTTTTTCCTCTTATTTCTTGTATGATTTTTTCCCTCATAGCTTTTTTAAAATTAGTTTTTATTTTTAAAACAATATTATTTTACATACCAATCCCAGTTCCCTCTCCCTCCTGCCCTCCCACTTCCCCTACCATCTCCCCACCTCATCCCCTTCTACTACTCAGAGAGGGCAAGGTCTCCCATAGAGAATCAAAGTTGATCAGTTGGGACAGGACCAACACTCCTCACCCCCACCCCCACCCCCATCCCCCATATCTAGGCTATGCAAGCCCACAGGGAATGGGCTTAAGCCAGTTTTATGTTTTTTTCCCCAGAGCTTTAGAGCAAAGAAAACTGTAGACATAAGAATTTTAATAATTGCTGGCATAGTGTACAAACCTGTAACTTCCAATATTCTAAATCCTGAGGTGGGAGAACCATGACTTTGAGGAACTTTACCAGAAAAAAAAGCTAAAATATATTGCAGGAAACATTAGGGATGTTCAGATGGCTCAGTGGGTAAATGCATCTGCCACTGATCCCAACAACCTGAGTCAATAACCTGAACTCACTATTGTTGGAAGATATCCTCTGACTTCTGTATCCCCATGCTGTCACACACCTGCACCCCCACATGCCAGACTAAACAAATAAAAACAGCAATAAAAAATCTGTATAAAGGAAGTGTGATGATCTTTAAAATATTTGTTTATTCATCTTTTATCCAAATACAACAAAAATTTATTATTATGAGAAGGAAATATTTCTTTTTCACCCTCAGATTTAGTTGTTAGTAGTCACTAACTAAATGTGTCAGAAAATGAGTGAACAGACAGGAGAGAGTCTAGACCTTGATGGACATGTTTGCTTGTTTGTTAGAACATAGAAAAGTACCCTGCAGATTACCAGACACTAAAGACATACTGGATGACTAAATGAATAACAGATGGATATGTGTTAGTCGGTGCCTTGGCAGAGAGTCAGAACAGCACACACATACAGGGAGGGTAACCATGAGCCCCCTGAAGAATAGCATGGAGAGCCCCTAGGTCCATTAATTTCAGAGCATCTGTTGAGACCTCTCTGGTGATGATTCCCTGGGGCCTTTCTTTCTGTGTTGGCTAACTCAAGAGCCTGTACACTTGTGACAAAGAAGAGCCAGTAGACTAAAGAGTCGCATAGGTCCAATGCTGTTTCCCCAGCTTTATGACTTGGGTCTCCGTTCTATCAGTAGGTCAGGTCCACTGTTTCTGGGGGTTTCTCCATCCCTGTCTAGGCTCCTTTACTGGATTCCAGTAGTATGGTTAAGTGCTTAGCTATGGGTGTCTGTTTCTGCTTCGAACAGCAACTGGATGAAGACTCTCCTTCCTCTCCCTGCCCCCAGGCTCTAATTTGGTCAGGGGTTATTGTTCCCAAGATCCTCCCTCAAAAAATATGACAGACTTTGAAGGTCCTTGGTAGAGGACCTCACTATCCCTGGAGATGAGTCAGGGGGTAGGTTGGGTGGGGAACATAGGAGGAGGGAAGGGTGAGGGAATGGGGGATGGATATGTAAATATGAGTAATTAAAAATAATAAAAAATTTTTAAAAAGAGTCTCATAGGTACACCCTGATGTTCCTTGCATTCAACATGGAATGCTCACACCATTCTTCCTTCAAACAGCTGCATATAATGTGTAAGGTCACAGGAATGGTTTGGATGTGGTGTTTTCCTCAAATTGTTTATCCTCTAGAAGGTGCTGGGCTGTTGTCTCTTACAATACTCTTGACTCCAGGATCCGTTCTAGTTTCATTTCTCTTGCTACAATACCTGACAAAAAGCAGCATAAAGGCCATGGGGTTTATTTGGCTTCCACTTCCCTGTTACAGCCCATCGCTGAGGGGAAGTCATAAACCAGGAGTTTGAAGAGCTGAGGGAAACAGATGCACCCATGCACGTTTGCTTTTGTTCAGCAAGCTTTATCCACTCTTATGATGTTCAGGGACTAGCCTCTGAAATAGTTCCTCCTGCATTCAAGTTGGGTCTTCCATTCCACCCCAGTTAAGAAATCATGACAATCCCATACAGACTAACATCATCTAGATAATTCCTCAAATTAAAGTCTCTTCCTGTGTAAGGTTAGGTTGTGGCAAGTTGACAGTTAAAATCTACCCATCAAACTGATTGTAGGAGGCAAGTCACAAATTCTGGATATGTAGTTGAGTGGCTTTTTTTTCCTCTTATTTCTTGTATGATTTTTTCCCTCATAGCTTTTTTAAAATTAGTTTTTATTTTTAAAACAATATTATTTTACATACCAATCCCAGTTCCCTCTCCCTCCTGCCCTCCCACTTCCCCTACCATCTCCCCACCTCATCCCCTTCTACTACTCAGAGAGGGCAAGGTCTCCCATAGAGAATCAAAGTTGATCAGTTGGGACAGGACCAACACTCCTCACCCCCACCCCCACCCCCATCCCCCATATCTAGGCTATGCAAGCCCACAGGGAATGGGCTTAAGCCAGTTTTATGTTTTTTTCCCCAGAGCTTTAGAGCAAAGAAAACTGTAGACATAAGAATTTTAATAATTGCTGGCATAGTGTACAAACCTGTAACTTCCAATATTCTAAATCCTGAGGTGGGAGAACCATGACTTTGAGGAACTTTACCAGAAAAAAAAGCTAAAATATATTGCAGGAAACATTAGGGATGTTCAGATGGCTCAGTGGGTAAATGCATCTGCCACTGATCCCAACAACCTGAGTCAATAACCTGAACTCACTATTGTTGGAAGATATCCTCTGACTTCTGTATCCCCATGCTGTCACACACCTGCACCCCCACATGCCAGACTAAACAAATAAAAACAGCAATAAAAAATCTGTATAAAGGAAGTGTGATGATCTTTAAAATATTTGTTTATTCATCTTTTATCCAAATACAACAAAAATTTATTATTATGAGAAGGAAATATTTCTTTTTCACCCTCAGATTTAGTTGTTAGTAGTCACTAACTAAATGTGTCAGAAAATGAGTGAACAGACAGGAGAGAGTCTAGACCTTGATGGACATGTTTGCTTGTTTGTTAGAACATAGAAAAGTACCCTGCAGATTACCAGACACTAAAGACATACTGGATGACTAAATGAATAACAGATGGATATGTGTTAGTCGGTGCCTTGGCAGAGAGTCAGAACAGCACACACATACAGGGAGGGTAACCATGAGCCCCCTGAAGAATAGCATGGAGAGCCCCTAGGTCCATTAATTTCAGAGCATCTGTTGAGACCTCTCTGGTGATGATTCCCTGGGGCCTTTCTTTCTGTGTTGGCTAACTCAAGAGCCTGAGGGGAAACACATCTTCTGGTCAATGACACATGGTGACATATTCCTAGCAATGTCATTTCTCACTGTGTAGAAGGACGAATTGGACTCTTTGGCAGCAATCAGTGTTAGGTCCCTTTAATAAGTGGGAATAAATTTTTGATTACTAACTCCTTATTGTTGCTTCAGGCAAGAGTTAAAAATAACCAGAGATTATTCCTGGACTCACACCAACATGAGAGTAAACATCAGTACTGAATGAAACCCAGAAATAAGGCGTGACTCTGTCCTAATGGTCACGGGCACTCAGTGACAGATAGGTGCAGTGTGACCTGGATGGTTAGTGTAAAAGTGAGGGGTAAACCTTCACAATCCAGGAAGAAGAAGCACTAGTGGAAATACAAATGAAAATAACACAACCCTCTTCCCCAGGAGCAATGTCCATACTGACATGAAAAGCCAAGTGTGTTGAGAGACAGGAATGATGGGACTATTCCCTTGTAATAGACAAAGACAAACTCTTCCTGTGTTTTTCTGTAGTTATGAGACTCCGTCGTGGGAGGACCCATCAGAGTGTGATCTGGACTGAATGTGAAGAGGAGGGAAAGGAACTGCCATGCTGTTGGGGAGTCTGGGCAGGCAGGTGGCTTCCCAGCAGCACTCCAGAAGCAGTGAGGCTGATCAGAAGTGGCAGCTGGTAACCTGGAGCCTTTGAACATGGGAACACTGGGGACTCAAGAGGGAGGGAAGAAGAGTTGAAGGAAATCAGATCTTTCAATTTCAGTTCTCTGAAAAGTACAACTCTCATTGAAGAGCTCAACTCCAATCTCTTATTTCTCCCCTTTCCTCTCTCCCTCCTCTACTGATCTCTGTGTCATTTCAACCACTCCCATAAAGTAATTTATTTGTGTCAAGTGGTTCTTTGTAATATAAGGAGTCATATAGTAAACAAAATCCATTAAAAATATTCTCACACTCTGTCCTAAAGTAGTAGCTGGACTTTGGGGGGCTTCTTTTGGATCCAGCTGACTTTGTCTGGTTTGTACCGGAGAGGGGGAGAAACAGCAGGTAAAGATACTAACAGAAAGACGGAGACAGAATAGAGTCAGGAGGTCAATCCAGTGAATACTGAACACCTCAAGTTTATTCTCCAACATTCTTATATGCCCCAACCAAAAGGGGGAAAATGATAAAAGACTTCTTTATCATGTTACAAGGAAGAAACAGACTTTCTTCTTTAATTCTCCAAACATATACTAACCATGCCTTAGGCTAAATCTCTGATTATTTGACCTTGAGGGTTAAAAGTAACTACACCTCAGACCAAGTCTCTTGTTATTTAGACAAGACATCCACGACTAAGACCAAACATTCTATAGTAGCCATGCCTTAGACCTTTAGGTCTTATAACTTTAACTTTGGAAGAGTAAAGATGGTTTTGAACTCTGTGAACTTAAGTCAAGATGAATCAAAGCCATTTTTATGGACTCTGACATCCTATAACACTACATCCCAGCTATTGCTTTTTGTTTGTTTGTTTTTTATTATTGGATTTCTCTGTGTAACTTTGGCTAACCTGGAACACACTTTGTACACTCACTTTGAACTCAGATATCTGCCTTCCTCTGTCTATTGAGTGTTAGGATTATAGGCATGAGTCACCACAGTCTAGCTTGTCCCAGCTCTTTATGGCAACTGCTATTATCTATGAAATCCTCTTTAAGGTGTTTTATCTGTTTACTCTTCAGACATGCAGTGTCTATTGGTAGAATGTTGGTGTGGGGCCTGTAGTTTCTAAGGCTAGAGGTGGATCAGGCAAGCTAAGAGCTGTCTTCATAGGGAGGGGTAAGAAACAATATATGAAATTAGATGAGGAAGACACGATGAAGGAAAAAGCAGTCATGAAGAAAATGACTAACATTCTGTGTATGTGTATCTTCCTATGTGTAGATATGTGTCTTGTATGTGTATGTGTGTGCCTGTGTTTAAATGTGTGCCTGTGCATATATGTGTATGTATGTGCCTATGGGTACATGTGTGCATATGCCTGTGTGCAAGTGTGCCTGTGTGCATGCCTGTGTGTGCATGTATTGTGCCTGCGTTTACATGTATGAATATACCTGCTATTATGTGTGTGTGCTTTAGTGTATTGTTTGGTTGTGTGTACATATGTGCCTGTGTGCATATGTTTGTGTTCCTGTATATGTGTGTGTACCTGTGTGTATGTATGTGTCTATGTGTACATGTGTGTGTGTGTGTGTGTATGAGTGTGTGTGTGTGTGTGTGTGTGTGTGTGTGTGTGTGTGTGTAACTGTGAGTACATAAAACCCCTAGGCAGCTGTAGAGTTGAGAAGTTCCATGAATTTTTGGAAGGCAAAAAGAAAGGAGATTACTTTGGGTGATGAGCCATCCTTCATCAGTCAGACATCTAACTCTATAGGTTCAGTGCCAGCAAAAGGTTTTAGAAGTAAAGTAGTGGAATGAGGATGAGCAACACACTGATATTTATAACTGCAGCTGAGAATGACTGATGTGAATCAGGTCCTAAGGACAGCAAGTAGTGTGGATGGTGGTCACAGGGAAGGTGACAATGGGGAACTCATCCAAAATCTGCAGTGCTGCAGAATTTCTGTATCTGGGCTTCTTCCTGGCTTGTTGCTATTGTTCAGCAGTAAAATGGTGTGATCCCGAGGACTGCAAATTAATGCTGCTATTGTGGCTTTACACACTTTGGTAAATGTTGGAGATTTAAAGGTTGAAATAGCAAGCCATCAAAGAAGAATCAAAATTAAATCCCCATATAGCCTACAAGGTGAAGGGCAATCTCTTGTCAGGAAGACTCTGTTAGAGTGATGTAGAGGTGGAGGATGGGCTAGGCACTGACAGACTGCTACAAGCTAGAGAATAGACTTTGATGTTTGGTGGAAGGAAGCTCCCAGTTCTGCCTGTCAGGGAGGTTCTGATTCTTACATCCCCTGGACTCAAGGTACCTACACTTGCATTGTGCCATAGAGCCTTACAAACACAGATGGTCTGTCATTGCTGTTTAAGGGGACCATGCTTGTATAGTACAGGATTTTCTCCCTTGTATATAACCCACAAAACTGTCAATCAAACATGTTGTAATGCAGGGAGATCAAAATCTTTGCTAACTTCTAGAAGGCCTGGTGTGTGCTCTGAGGCTACAATGGATATGAATGCTGATAAGGTATATTTGGTGGCTCTTCTTTATTGGGCCCCATTTCCACAGCTACACTCTTGAAAAGACATAATGAAATGCAACAAATGTAGTCTAATCTCATGGGTTAAAAACAGTTTTGTTTCAGATTTTCTTTATAATATAAAATGAAATGTGTGTATTTATTGCAATGGTTAATTTTTACAATGATCTTGTTGTTCCAAAACTTCCATCATTATCCTTTGCAGGGAGAAGACTGTTAGGTTAGAGCTCTTAAAACTTGGGTTCTCACCTTCATGGATACAGGCACAGAAGTGGAGGCTGTGGAGCAATTTGGAAGAATGGACATTGGCCAAGACCTTACCTCTGTTACCAAGATCTCACTCTCTATGGCTGCCAATTCTTCAGCCAAAAAGCAATTATTGAAGAGAAGAAGAATCACGGTTTTCTTCTGTGTGCCACAGTAGAAACCACACACCACCTGCACGTGGGAGGAAGAGAATCATCGCAGTTGGTACAGAGGCAGCCCCGTGGAGAACAGAAGATCCTTCACATGCAATCAAGACAGAAAGGAGCCACACATGCAGATGCCTTTGCTGACACCCCTTTTGCCTTCCTAGGGAACCTGTCTTCAACATGACTTCAGGGGAGCTGAGTGTCAGCTAATTGCATCTGTAGACAGAGGCAGAAGATGCTTTTTGGCTTGGGTTCATCTGATTTGCATACTCCAGGTGTCCCTGTCATAGGTATGCTGTTTATAACACTGCCTTCTTGAATTTTCTGGAGTTGAGAACAACATGGGGTAGAGAATATGCACCTTCCCAGGGCTGCATCTGAGACATAGTGACATAAAGTCTCTAGGGACAGAGCAAGCGGGTTGGGTCTGCTCATTTCACAAGCTTCCTGGTTCCTGGACTTTGGCAGAGGTGAGAAACAAAGATTTCACTAGACTCCTGCAGATTGGTATCAGCAATCACATATTGAAAGAAAGTCCATTTGTTTCTAAAAGTGACAGGTAAAATTCTTTGACTCTCTGACTTGAAAGCCCCTAATCTACTCACACTTTTATACAACCCTCTACAATATATCTTCATGACTTTTCTTTTTCATCAATATGGCAAGAAGGTTATAGATGTCAACCAAGAAACAGCTCTTACCTCAAATGTGATTTATTCTGGAACAAAATATGAGTGAGCATAGCCCACATGTTCAGGCTATCCCAAGCACCATGTTCTGATGAGGTAGCAATTTCATGAAGTTATTATAGGAACAGAACAAAGCAGGTCATAAGTCAATGTGCTTTACAAATCCATGTCCAGGGGGAAAGCCAGGCAGGCTTCAGTGTATCAGGGAAATCTCAGATACTAATGATCTCAGCCTTTGGTTAGTGGGAACTACAGGTCTGATTGAACATTCCAAAGGATTTATATAATTTTCAAGATGTTAGGTCACATAGAAAGGAGGGTAATAAATGGTTATTAAGAGCCAAAACATGGCCCAAGATAATGTGAATTTGGGCTGAAGACATTCCAATATCTGCATCATTGAGGTCCTAATCTATCAATGAGCCTTTCTAGTCAAAGCTTCTGTTGGTCTTATGGATATCTGAAATCCAGAGAGGGAAAAAAACACTTCTTTAAGCCAATGTCCCCAGGGCATCAGAATACCTATAAGCAACTGGCCTCCTGCAGCCTGATTTCTTCTGTTTCTTCACTAACTTGCAAGCCCTTCTCTCAGTTGGAGCATTGTAGACACAAAGATGATGTGTTTTGGACAAAGAAGGGGGTATGGACTCTACCTGGGCTGGGTGCTCAATGACTGTGACTGCCATGTATAGTTGGAAGGGTTTCAGTAAAAGTGGAGACAGATGAATAGTGTGACTATATTGAAACTGTAAGGGCGAGACATGATGTCTTCAACTGACAGCTTTTCCAGTTGAAAGGGTTAGTGAAAGCCCACTGGTACACACAGGCTCTGATTAGCGTGCTGTGGAGGGTCTCTGCAGTCAAGCATTGGGTCAACTTTTGTTTTCCACTGAAGGATGATGGACAGCAAAACAATGAGAACATGCGGTGGGGAGTCCAGTGAGATGCTTTGTGGCTTCAGGTAAAAAAGAATCTGTGTACCACACAGAGGAGTTAAGAGAGGTTGAGCCCTTGCATGGTTCAGTTTTCCTCAGAGGAAACAAAACAAAATGAGGCAAAAGATATATTTGTTTTCTACTAAGTACTTTTCCGAATTGGGTAACCAACTCTCTCCAAATTCACCAGCACTTGGAGACCACCAGGCACACATCCTTCCTGATGTCTCTACATAGAGCAACGGGCTGTTCTTCCATTAGTCCCACTGTCTGCCATGAGTCACACATGTGAACAGTCAGTCCAACTTAATAAGTGTACTCACTCAGAAAACAACTTCAGCTGCTATCCTGTCAGTTTCTGGTGGAAAGGTGTGGAGAGGGAATGAAAGGTGACAGCTATGTAAAGGTTGAGAGTGGGAAATAAGAAAAATGAGTAAAGCACAAACAAGATCTGCTTATTGAACAGGGACTGTCTTGAAGGAGAGATTTGGGGCTGGTTGGGGTGGGGAAGACAGAGGAAGGAGAGCAGTTTTGAGCTCCTGCAAGATGAGCTACCACCTTCTACCATCCTTGTAAAAGACTTATTTTCTTGTGGCAGAAGGACTTCTCACTTAAGCTTCCCACCCACCTTCAGAGAGACAGTGGAAAGTGGTTTGCTCTGTGAAGGCTCTGCATCTGCCACAGTGCTGCGGTGTGGAGTTGGTTTCAGACATTCAGGTGACTGTGAATGTCCACTTCTATGTAGCTGTTTACTTTGTTACAATGGAGTCTATTTGCCTTAAACAATGGATCCTTCTTGCTTTCCTATAGCCGCTTCCATTACTCTGAATTAGTTTCTTATTGTTTATAATGTCTCCCTGTCTTTGCCACTGTTCTGTTCCCGTGAAGAGATACCATGACCACAACAACTCTTATAAAAGAAAGCATTTAAGTAGGACTTATTTACAGTTTCAGAGGTTTAGTCCATTATCATGGCAGAGAGCACAGCAACACACAGGCGACATACATGTGTTTGAAAAGTAGCTGACAGTTCTACACCTGGGTTCACTGGCTGCAGTAAGAGAGAGACTCTGGGCTTGAAATGTGCTTTTTAAACATCAAAGACTATCCCCGTCCCATGACATACTTCTTCCAACAAGGCCATACCTCCTAATCCTTTCAAATAGTGCCACTCTCTAAGAATTCAAATCTAAGAAAGAGCCTACAGGGTCATTCTGATTCAAACCACCACACTAATACAAGGTAAATGCCGTCCAAATTGAGTATCAGGTGAAATGATGGCAAGAAAAGAATCTTTGTGTTCAGTTCAGGTGTAAAAAGAGAATCAATGAATCAATGAAGAATTCTGTTACTGAAAACAGGAGACCTGGAAGAAAAATAGCTCTTAAAAAAAGTAACTTTACTGACAGATAGGCTTAGTGGTGGTTAAGAGCACTGGCTGTTCTTCCAAAGGACCAGGTTCTATACCCAGCACCTAATGTAGGCTCACAGCTGTCTGGAACTCTAGTCTTAGGGATGTGACACCTTCTTTTAGCTTCCAGGGTCATGAGGCACACATGTGCATAGACATATATGCAGACAAAATGTCCCTACACACAAAATTTTTACATACTTGAAATGATAACTCTAAATTTGGAAAACCTTGTCCCAGTAATGATACTATCTTCACCATGCATTTATCAGAGACATGCTCATAGGTCAAGCCTGGTTGAAAGACAGACTGACAAAAACAGTGTAAGAATGCATTCTTGATAAAGCTGTGGTGATCCAGTGAAAGTTGTTTGATAAGAAGTACAGTCAGACTTCTGTGGTCCAACCCACAGGTTCAATCAGCCGTCGATCAGGAATATTTCAAATAACTCTGTCTCTGTTAAATATAAATGTGTGCATTGACTCTGTCATAGTCCCTTAAAAATGTAGCTTACTAATTATGTGAAATTTCCTTTGCATGATGTGCTCGTTACAAATAATCTACAGGTTATCTAGATCCAGATCTCACATTGAGTCCCCTAGTCATGTGGCTATAGTGGAAGAACAATGACAGAGCATGAGGAGAACTAGACAGGGGGCGAGATCTTCTGAGGGGAAGATGCTGAGATGCTGCATGCCCTCTCTGGCTTTCAGGTGACAATCATAAATTTCAAGTTTGGGCTGTCATTAGACAGGGCCAAGACTCCCATAATGTGACAAAGATGTCCCCAGTACTATACAGCATGGTGAGGATCTCCTTATGCATGGATCTCCCTCGCTGAATTCTAAGATCCCAAAGAGTCAGCAGGTATCTGTTGTGTTACTTGGGTGACCATCACACAGAACATGGATCCTGCTTCCAAGTCAAGGTAGAATCCAAATGGCTGTGGGGTCACATGGGGTCTTACCTGCTTTGGCTTAACTCTGTGGTGATTTAGAGGAATCACCAGATAAACAGCCAGTGAAGCCACCTTCCCTGGTACCTGGTTTTGGACAGCTACCTCCACACGTTGGGAAACACAAACAAACAAACCCCACAGGATTTACTCCTGTGAAACAATGCTACTATTCCACCCCCAACACACAATTTGCTACATATTTGGTGTGAATTATCATTTTAGCCACTTCAAAGCATTTTGGAAGTAAATCAGAATGAACATTTCAGTGAATGTCAGATCAGATCAGAATGGAATTGTCTAAAAACAATTCAGAGGTGGGGACGGGTAGCTTATTGGTTGAATATTTCCCTAGTATGCTGAAGGCCCTGAGCTGGATCACAAGTGTTGGAAGCAAACAAAAGCTAAATAAGAGAATAATTCAAGTAGGAAATGGATGGAGTACTTGAGCTTGATATTCCTGGAATGAGTGAGTCGTTGTCTCTCCAGTAAATTAGAGAGCAGCTATGAGTAAGGAAAGCACTTCTCTTTTCTGGGGTGAGGTTAGGAGAAAGCCACAGGATATTTGGTTGTAGATTTGAGATTTCCACCGCTTGACTCCCTGGCTTAGAAACCACTAGTGAATTGGTTAATCTCTGTGTTTGTCATGGGTAGGTGCTCTGTTCTTTGTGCCCTTGTGAGTAATGTGATAATGCCGTGCGACTGGGCAGTTAGCCTTGTTCTTGTGTTTAGTAATACTGTGGGTCCTCAGGTGACTTTGTTGGTCCACTCATTTTATCAGTTCAGAAGAGTGGTTATTTGGATTTTCTCAGCTACTGGACAGGTTACAGCTGAATCATTGCTTTGTAGTGATTACTCTAGAGAAAGAAGGGAGACTCATCTCCATGTGACCAACACAAAAGAGTTGGCCCCAAATCCTGCCCCTAGAACAGTCATTGTATACCTGTCCCTCTCATGCTTGCATCCTTCTCCTAACAAACCTGCTCACTAATGAGGGTGAAATAAGCTAGTGCAAATAAGGGGCTTATCTTGCCACCCAGCATATGCCTAGAACACAGTAAATACTATTACCAAGACCTTCCCCATTTTCATTCATACTACTCTACAAACGAAAAGAAGACCATAGCATCCAGTGTCTGGGCTGTTTTAGTCCATTTATTCACATTCTTAGAAATAAAAAAAGCTCATTGGTATTTGAGAGACCATGACCAGAAGTACATCAACATCTAGAGGCCACAGGACCCAGGTGAAGAGGTTCATCTTGTAGACCAAGTTGAATGCCAGAGATATGGACTCCCCATGCAAATGGGAGTTGATTCTATGGATAAGGTATTCATCACTCTGTGTCTCTAGTAATAACCTGTTCATGTCTGCCAGACAGCACTGTGTTCATTGACTATGTGAGAACCTAAATCAAGAGCTAGGGGACTCTCAAGCTGCCCAGAGTCCAGCAAGTCTGTCTCAGTGGGTATCTGGGTTGTTCTTCCATAACCTAGGATCTGTGATGCTAGTTTTCAAGGCTTGCTTTAGCTCTGTGACATTTCCTGAGACTCAGACTAAAACTCTGAGTTTCTTTCTCCCCTGTACACTGGGACAAAAGAATAATGAAAATACTCTTTTCTTGTTGAACCAACTAGCAAGATATTTAAGGTGCTAAATCACTAGGTGTTCCCATATCCTTTGAAAGGATTGGATTGTATGATTTGCATTTAGTGCTATGAAGAGAGTACCTGTAGAGGGCAGTGAGGGAATGGGAGGCTGCTGCTTCCATGCATGTGAAGCCCTGTAGGATTGTGGCTTCCTTCACCCACTGGGCCACCTCATAGCCATACATGGAATGCAGCCTGGATCGGGTACAGTGGAGAAAGTCAATCCAGGACTGTCTTTCTCTCACTCTGCTTCTCTGCTCTCTATGCATGGGCTATACTGCTCATGCCCAAGTCACCCTGATGGACCAAAGCTCTGATTCTGTGAAGTGGGTAAACTTCTTCTCAGGTCATTTCTTTCTGGTATTTGATTTGCAACAGTGTAAAAGTATCTAAGAACATGATGGTATATTTCCATTTAAGAGTTAAAAAAATGAAAACTTGGGACTATTTTCAATCATCATCATATACTTTAGAAAACAAGAAATTTTGCATCAACTAAGTAATATTCTACCACCATTTTACAATTTAGCTGTATACGAAGTTGTTATAGGTCCAAATTTGTCTTCATCCTAAGCCAGTGATTTCTCACTTTTAGAAACCTTAGTATTTATTCAGTATCTACTAAACATTGTCACTGTATGTTTATTATTTTCCTTGACAGCTAAGCTTCAGGAGAGTTTCCTTTCTCCCCATGCTGTTCTTCTTTGACCCCAGGCATCTCTTCCTTTCCATGGAGGTACAAGCTCATCCAATACCTGGAAGCGCTACTTCTAAGTTGTCTCACTATCCTGTAAATCTGAAAAACATATCAAACATTGGAATTTGTTTGGCAAGAATTTGTTTGGCAAGCAGTCCAGAGAAAGAATCCATTCTACTTAGAATATGCTAAAAAAAAAAAAAAAAAAAAAAAAACTCACGAAGCTGCTAGTGTGTATTCTGGTTTAGAAGTAATTGTTTCTCAAATATTTATTTATTTTATTTTATGAATGTATGTGTGTGCCTGGATATGTGTGTGTGTGTGTGTGTGTGTGTGTGTGTGTGTGTGCCATGTGTGTTTAGGATCACATAGAGTTCAGAAGAGCATCAAATCTCCTGGCACTGGAATAACAGAGTGGTGTAAGCTACCATGTTCATGGTGGGATGGTGAAGAGACCAACTCACTTTTATACTGATGAGCAAGCACACTCTGTAATGATGAAGATGAATGGGCTTCCTTGTAGATGCATCATACAGATATGAATGTTAACTTCTATGACGACATTCTCTTCTTCCGTAGCCATAAATTAAAGCCTAAAATCCATCTTTACTGGCAGCTTTGAGCATAAAATGCCTTGCTCTGTAATTTTATTATATGTTTAAGGGAAATGTTTCCCTTGAATCTTTTACAGATTGCCCGCTTTACAGACAGTATGTTCTTGTGGTGGAGGCTATGGCAATAGTTCCTGGTCTCCTACTAAGATGTAAAGGGAAACTCAATTAAAAGGATCGCAATGGAGTCAGAGCTAGTTTGATGAGCAGATCGTTTATTAGGAAAATACTCACTCGACGGAGTCAGTCCTGTACAACCAGGTGGGTCAGAAAATAGAGAAAGCCGTGTGCATGCTACCTTCATATTTAAAGTCTTGATACATCACTATGACCACGCCCTCTGGACGTGGCCAGCATTTTCCCCTACAAAGATGACTCCAGAAGAACCTTCTTTATGTACTAGAGTATTTATTCTGCCCAGAAAAGCAGCACTTGGAGCAGACAAGTGCATTTGCCTGTGGGAAGTTGAAACAGAAATATCTGTCTTATAAAATTGCAAAACAAAAAACAATGAGGATGAAGAACCCGAAGGAGCTTGCCACTCCACCCCACCCTAACATCCCCAACTTCTGAACACAGGAGCATTTCTGACGTTTTTTTGGTTGCACCATGGTAGATGTTTCTTATGGTAGGTTAATTTGCAAAAATATGGGATAAAATGAACCTAACCTTCAAAACCTTGTCTTTTGGATGTGGGGCACCGGAGGAAACTGTATAGCAGCCGTGAGGATTTCAGAACGATAGACTTGTCTCTGTAGAGTTGGTTTACGGAAGTGTGAATTGGTGATATGCATTATAGTAGGTGGATTAACACCTGTTAAGATGTTCATCCCTAAAAGTTGCGGCTACTCATTTGAATGTTTTTTAATCAGAGACCAAGATTTTGGCTTGGACTACAAACTCTCTGTTGGCCCATTTGTTACAATGCTTTATTTAAGAGGCCATCTTTAGAATATCAGAGATCCTTAATGGTTTGCATTATCAGATGTGGTATGGCAATTAAGAACGTGCTAATTATACTAGGGTGCACTCCCA